ATGTGAGGCTAGCCAAAATCAGTTAACCAAAATTTTCAGTTATTTCCATTAAATGTAGTGGTTTAAGAAAATGTGAAAAATAAATCCCCCTCAGGTTAATGTGCTTATGACAACAAGGATTGTTTTCATTGTACAATAATTCAGGATCATCAGGTATAGGAATGGTGGACAATGAAAGATGTTGCTTTTGCAAAATGAAATTATTAGAAGTATTGGGGAAGTTTATCAATCCAAGCCATTGCTTTGTCCAGGTAAAATAATGTAGATAGTAGAAAATAAGTGTGTATTAAAATCAGGAAGATAGTAATTAATGGTAATGATTTAATGTACACAGATGGAATTATTTATTTGCTTTATGGATTTTTTCTAATCATGCGATTTGCTTTGGAGGAGAGGGGAATATCTTGCTTTTTTGTTGCCATGAATGCTTTCCTACCATGATGATGTTCTGAAAGTCTTTGAAAGAGGAAGAGTTGATTTGGAAAGTCTTTTACCCATGAAGACAGCCCAGCAATGGAGCTGAGGGTTATGGAGGTTGGGCTAACATCCTTGAGGGATTTCATACTGAGAAGCTGAGTTTGATCCCATGTCTGAGCCTTCCTTGGGCAGTGGCTGGGCCTGGAGACCTCCCCATGTGCCCACTTGACCAGAGTGTCCTGTGATCTTGTGATTTTCAGGGGGACAGCCATTTGCCTCAAGTTTGTGATGTCTAGTTGCAATGTAATCCTGAAGGATGATGGTCTGGGAGGTAGCTGTGATTCTTGTTCATGGCAGTGATTCTGTCAGTTTGTCAAGGCAGATGGTATGAGGTACATGAGGGCTTGAACAGCATCAAACTGGTATTTACATGATGCCACATTTCTCTGGTCTTTTATCCTCCCTTATACCCAAACTCTGGGCTATCAAAGAACAAGCTGTATTTACATGCTGGTGAATGATTAAATTAGTAGCTGTCATCTGAGATTAACTGAGTGCAAAGGCTGTCTCTTATCCCATGGCAAATGGAAAGAAATATGTGTTCATTGAAACCACTGAGAAGGTTCCTTTGATTACTATGACACCTGCGGAGAATCTGTATATTTCTAAGACATGGCTCAAGAAGGTATTTTTTCTTTCTACAGATTCTGGCTTTATTTGTCTTCAAGGCTTTCAATATTATGCTAATGCAGGAAGCCTTAAAAGCAAAGGTCCTTGTACAGTATACCCTACAAGGAAGGTGTAGCATAACTTACTTTTTAAAGAGGATATCTTATCTTATCAGCTGAAAAATTAACGATTAGACTACCGAGGAGGTAGTCCCTCTGTAGTTTCCCTCAGGAAGCTGGAAAAGAAGCAGTGTGACTCCCCTGGCTTTGCTGGGGTGTGCATCCTTCCTGCTGCTGCCTATTGAGAGAGCAAAGGGAGAGAGCATCTAGTGTCTCAATGGATAACAAGCCATCACTTTTTTTTTTTTTTCCCTTTGTTCTGGTAGCACCTTTCTGCTAGTCTCTGGCAGGGAAAATGGATGTGTTTTTACTCACCAGCAGCAGGCCCCAACAGTCAGTTTTAGTTAACCCTGGCAGCAGTGAGAGTCACCTACACTTACACATACTCAACAGGATTAACTCCTAGAAATTAAAACATGGAAAACAATTCAGTATAAAATATACAAGCTTCTTGTTTGATCCTTTCATACTGTCTTCTAAAAGAAAGAGTAATTCAAGATAAGAGTTTGAATGTCCTGGTGGTAGCCATGCTGAATCATGATAAATGATGTATAAAGTGTATAGGGGTTACATGAATATCTATCAGATAAGAGCAAAGGCTGGCTTGAACCATTCTTGTATAAACTGATCATCCATGGAGCAATCACTTATCAAGGCACCAGCTGCTGACTGTTGCTGCAGTCAGCACCAAGAAAAGCAGAGCAGAAGATGTGCTCAGCATAGTTGTGAGGTGCACATGAAAGACATTCTGTGGAAATGATATGTACAGATCAGCTTGTGCTCTGTTGCAAATAAGGATAAGTACTTCTGTGATCTTTGTAGAAGAATTTTTCAAGAAAAGTACATTGACAGTGAAATTTGAGAAGGAAGCTTTTAAAACAGTCAAACAAACCAACAAAAAACCCCAAACAAAACATCACAAAGATAAAGAATAAAGTAAAGGAAGTTACATTTGGGAGCTACCTAAATGATAGTGTTGAAAGTTTCAGTTTCTTCACATTTATATGATGGGGTTTTATCTGCACTAGCTATAGAGCTTTGCTTACAACTTCTAGATTAGGAAGCATTTTTTAAAAAAATATACACATAATTGTTTGCTGGGAAAATTGAATTCAAAGCTGGCTAGACAGACAAAGAGTCTGGTTTACGTTTTTCTTCATCACCCTGGAAGAAAAGCCTGAAATTTTTAAACCCAGAGCTGATGTTATTAATTAACGACCTTGTGCAGATGAAGACAAAGAAAGATTTAAAGTGTCTTAATGTATCTTTTGTGTCCTTAGTTTCTGTGACTTCCCAAAAATGTCTCTTACTCCACCTCGTAGAAGAGCATTGCTCCAATGTCTCCTTTCATTCAATGCTCTGCTTATAAATTATTATTCATATAATTTATTCCTATAAGGTTCATGTTTCTCTTGTACTTTGCAAGGGTATTTTCATCCAATCAAATCAGGAGAGTGCTTTACAATTACTGACACTGGTAAGAGAATTGTGCTGTCACTGGCCATCTCAGGTCTGTATCTCTCATCTGAGAATGAGGTGCTTCTGTGTGCTTTAAGTGTAGCTACCTAGGTTGATACTCTCATACAGAATACAATTCTTTGCTTTCTCTACTGTTCAAAGTGAAGGATTAGATAAATTGCTTCTCATATTCCGCCAAAAATAATTCTTTGCTTTCTCAAGATCATTGAGGCACTGCTAGTGAATATGTGAGTAACACCTACTCCTCAAAACACTGTGTGAGAATGAATTTGTAAATTATATGGAAAGGCATTGTTTTAACTACCATCAGTCTTTAAATCTTGGATCCAGAAAGTGGCCATACTGACAATGAAAAAGTACAAGAGTAAAGGAAAATTGCTGTGCAAGTGCTAATTAGTTTTTACTTTGTGCATCTTTTTAGTGGATTTTAACATGAGAGAACTTCAAAGGCTATTTTCTGGTAGGCCTCATTAATCCAGTCTCAAATCTCTGCGTTCTCCACGTGACATCGTCCAAGCTTTATTGGTTGCATCTGCTACCAAATTGACACTTCATTTAGCCACACATCTGCAGTATTTTTACACTCGGACCATTGCTGTGTAATCTTGTAGCTGATTGAGTTTTCAAATTAACTTGAGTTGATTTTTTTAAAGGGATGTGCTGCATCTTATAAAAAGAAACAGGCATACTGAATGTGTACATATTGTGCTGTATAGTGGGACTCTTTAGAGTACCCAAGTGCCCAAACCATGGAATGTGAAGAGTCTAACTGGGAGGCCTGCCCTTCATTCTTCCTATTCAGGGTTGAAGAAAGTAGAGGAAATTTCACTGGAAATTCACTATCCAATATGTATTTTATTGCATGCAAAAATGTTCCCATTCAGTATGGAAAAATCTAATGTGTTTTAAATTTGTTTCTAATACTATTGAACTGGGTTTCACACGTGCGTTGGTCTTCCAGTACTCTGGTAGATCCCCAGATGCTTGCCTTCTGTGACAACCATCATTCAAATTAATTCAGTAGGACCTGAACTGTAAAATGGATTCCCCTCTCAGATAATATGTCCTGTAGAATCAAGCTCATGTTAACTTAAAGGCATGTGTGTCAAGATGTGTTAGCTAAGCTACATAACGGTTGGTAACATATTTCAAGGAACTTCTTCTAGCAGGTTCCTTCTCAGTTGAGGGCTACATTAGCTTTGAGAGGAAATGATGGGGATTGAAGGACAAGTATTTGTTGATAGGTAATTTTCTCCTTTTCTACTTTTTTTTTTCTTTAATTTGGACACTGTAAAGAGCAGAGCATTCAAGAGCTCTTCCTTCCCTCTGGGGTCCATTTGATAGTAGCAATTTCTGTAGTGCTATGATGTGATCTTTTGGTGGTCCTATGCTGCTAGCAAGCACTGCTACATTTAAAAAAAAAAAAACTTATACTTTTAATTCAGACTGTAAAACTGCTCTATTTGAGATACCTATAATCAGAACAAATTATTGTCTATCTTTTAATTGCTCATTCTCTTTGTATACAAGAGTGTCTATCATGGCTTTATTAATAATTTCTTGAAAGGTTTTGTTAGGTTATTGGTGTGGAACTACAGCAAAAACTAGACAGTTTTAAAAGCAGTTACTTTTATGGATAAGAATGTAATTTATTATTTAGTGTGTTAACATCAAGTTGCATTGTCCTCTTGATTCATTAGGTGCATGTATCATGAAAAGAGCACTCTGAAGTCTGCAGGGTTTGGGTTTTGTTAGTTTTTATGTTACATAATCTTTGATTTCACAATGGCAATTCTCACACACTAGGGAAACAAAGCCTATATTGTATTAAAACACACAGTAGTATCTTCAGTGCAGTTCTGAGTCTGTGGAAGCACTGTAAGCCTTTGTGCAAAGGAAAGGGTAAAGAAAGAACCAGGACCCATCACTGCAAACACCATTAGCTGTCTGATCTGGTATGTCTTTCTGGTCATTGCCTGAGAAGAAACTACCTCTGCTTTGCTGATTACTCAATATTATGTTTGAGGGATGGAGGGAAAGCAAATGAAAAGGTACTTTTGTAGATGTGTTTACTACCTGAGTATTTACCTAAATGACTCTCTTGTCCTTATTCAGTGATCTATGATTTCCTCTTATTAGGACCATTGCATCTTTACACAATGTTTCTGCTTCTGCGCAAAATGGGTTACATATAGTGGTTTTGTTCAATAATGCCTTCACGTACAAAGTCAGGGAAATGACCTTTAAAGAACAAAATTAAGTATTAGTTTAATGCTGAAGGATGGTATTGAAAGGTTGTTAGATACTTTCAAAATAGACTTGTAAAACTTTTTTTTAAATTTCTTTATAGATTCTGGACAACCAGGAAGTCCAACCCACAATGATCCTGCCAAGAATCCACCAGGTAAATATAAGTTCCAGAACATATGCGTCTAACATTGTTTGAGAACAAAGATATTACTGTTAATAGTTAAAGAAAGCATAATTGGTTAGTAACTGATCTTGCATTGGTAAGTACATATAATCAGGACAAGCTGTGATTATTTTAATTTTAATTTTTTTTTTAAACTGGCAATGCCAATTTAATTGTAGTTTCATCAACATTACTTTAATCTAAGGAATTTTTCTTTCAGTTTATAGTTTTTAGAATTTTGTAAGTGGGAATGGGCAGAGGAGTAAGGAGACAAGATCCCAAATAACTTTACTTTTGTAAAAGTCTTCGGATGCTAAAGTTACTCTTTTATCTCAGACAAACCACAATTGACCTACCTCTAAAGTCTGTGACCTGAGTGATCAACTTCTTTATTTTTATTTTATATATGCATTATAAAACACAAATATCTTCATTTTTTGTGTTTTTCACATCAGCTCAAAGCAGTTTTTGAACATGTTGTTAATGGGTCATCCTAGTGATGTGGAATTTTTGTGAGAGAGATGTCAGTGTAAACAGTCCTTTCAAGGATTCTCTTAAAATAAAGTCAAGAGAAAATCAAACCCAGACTTTGTCATTCCACATTGTTTAGACTAAATGTTCCTTGTATTTTCATAGAGTTATCCTTGTAATCAATTGGGCTGTGCAAATCTTGTAAATGTTGTTTTATGATTTTTATTGGCATAACACAAACTAGTGTGACAGACATGCTATCAATTCTTAATGAGCAAGGAGTGACTTCTGCCACCACTGTCATGCTGTATCTTCTCATTTCGGCTTTTGGAAACGTCTACATGAAATAGGCTGCAGCTAACTCTGTTTGCTCTTCTCAAATGCAAAATGAACCACACTCTAACCAAGAATTAATTGCGTAATGGCGGGCTGTTGCATATACATGAATAGTTTCTGCATTTGTCCAAACATTAGGGAAAACAGCCTCTACTGTTGGCATATTGTTTTGTACTGTACATACAATCAAAGTATTCCCTATAAGTGGTGTAATATGTCATGTGTGTTGCATGGGAATACCCAAAAGTGGGAGAACCATCATAGACTGTTACTCAAAAAGACATATTCTTGTAATAAAGAACACAGAAACGTACAGTGGAAGATTGCAGGTATGTTTGTAGAGACAATGGGGGCAGAAAAATTCAAATAGCTCAGTAAGCTCTTTTCCCAGTGATTTAAGTTTTTTTTTTTTCTTTCTTTTTCTTTTCTTTTTTTTTTTTTTTAAGGGATGATGCAGTGATGCAGGCTTGAAATCACTTTTGGCTGGAGACTTCAATGTTGTTTTTCTCCAGACTATGTGGGATGTTATGGATAGACTTTTATTTCACTATTAAATATGTGACATAATTTATGTAGGATAGTGGTTTACAAACCCCAACCAGCAAATTTACACCTAAAATAAGCCTGAAAAGTTTCCTCACAGATAATCACAGTTTTGTAAAACTTGGACTGTTTAGCTGTAGAGCATTTTGTTTTGCTTTAGAGGATCTCTGTTTCTGAGTGCAGACAAAGCCAAGTGCATTACTCCTTATAATTTGACAAGGTGCTTTGCCTTTGGATTTGCAAAGCTGAAGGCAGGATCACGAAACTCCCCTTCAACATGTTTTAAATTTCTGTTTTAGAGTACCATTTAGCTTTTGGAGTAAGAAGGTAGAAGTACATATTTCACTAGGGAGGATCATATCCTCTAGTGAGTCAACCCCAGGCTGCTCCAGCAAGGATGACTCTTGCTGCCAGCAACAGAGCCCTGGGGAGGGCAGCAGATGAGCTATATAGACTTTCTTTTGGCAGCCTTGTAGGGCAAGACCAGATGTCCCGAAATTTGACAGACTCCAGTGTTTCAGAAGGTAGTGGGAGATAGAAGGAAGAGAAGTCTGTCGCTGGTTTCATCATGAAACTTTCTGCTTGAAATTTATCATAACACTTTTTAATGGTTTGGAGTCTCTACTGCAGTATTATTCTTTTATCTGCTGCCAAGAAGGGAGAGAAAATGGAGGATGTGCTTTACTTCCCTTGAAACCCTTCATTTAAGCAGAGACAGAGGCATAATTAAATGCCATCTCTCCATTTGAGGAGACATGAACTTCTAGCATCATTCAGCTTCCCTGTGTGGTACTGTGTTGGGGTTAAACTGGCAGGGAGAAAGTGTTGAGGTTTTTGTGGGACTGCAGTGTACAGGACTTCTGGGGATGTGCAGGAGAATGAGAGGGAGTTGCACTCCATTCTGCTTGTTTGGGAAAAGCACTGCCATCCTGTTCTTTCTTATTCTGCTTTTTATTCTGTGCTTCACATGAATCTTGTTATTAGAACCTCACAGTCACTTCTGTCAGAGTCCCAGAGGATATCCATTATGAGGTTTGTTTTTGGTCCCAGGGCAGGAGCACATGGACTAACAGTGCCAGGAGAGTTTATTCTTCTGTCATGTTTTGGTTTGATGTCTGTATGTCAGGGAGCCAGGCTGTTGGCAAGGGGTAGGTGCTGTTAGCTTTTGGATACCACTGCCTTCATGAAGATTGCCAAGGAAGAGGAGGTTGGAAACTGAGTGGTAGTTGGCGAGGCTGCTGGTGTTAAAAGTGGGTTTTTCTAGGTTTGGCTAGACTGTTGCATTCTTTAGGGTGTCTGGTAATTTGCTGTCTCAACCACGGAGGGAGGGTAATGTCACTTGCCAAACAAAAGAACATTAAGAGCACTTGCTGGAATTCTTTACGATATGTTCCTAAAAATACACTGAATACTGTGATAGCATAATACAGTACTAAGATGGTGCAGCTTGTGGTGAAAGTATATGTAGCTTTTGTTGCAAGATCCAGGGATATCATCCTCTAAGTCTTATGTTTTAATAACTTGCATCTGGTATATGTCTAAGGAATGAAACTTGTTTTCTGAGAACTAGGTTGTAAAGGTCACTTCTCCACAGGAATTGTTAAGAAGGTGCCAGACAGATAGATGAGCTGAACTGAAATGAGAGAGAAGAGTTCAAACACTGCTCTTGCCCGTACCAGTCATTAAATTTCTGGAAGTTTATGTTATACTAGAGTGATGCTAACTATTAAAAGTTTACATGGTTTCAAAGGGAGAGTGGGCATGTCCACGGACCCATTGAGGGTGACTAAACTGGTAAAGGCACACCTGCATTAATATGTTTTAAAACTGAAAGTACTTGGAGCCTTGGACACTATCAGTCAAAGAAAACCCAAACCAACTACTTTAGGCTGACATTGTTTCTTGCTATTGTAATACGCAATGGCTCCCTGCAAATCCCATAGGTCTTTTATATAGCGTAAGAAAATCTGAAAAGAAAGCTTTCCTTATGTGTGTCTTGAAATAGCTGCAAGGCTATGGGAGGATATGTACTGAAGGCAGAGGGAATGATCTGTCAGTAAGTTCAATTGTTAGGTATAAGAAAATTATGAGAGTAAAAAGATAAAAAGATCTAGAACTACTAGCAAACTTATGGTATTGAGACCAGCCGTAACACTTTGGTCTCCAGTGATGCAATCCTTACTAGCTAGTTCTTTTGGTAGAGGATTTTCTGTGTTTTAGTCTGCTTTAATTTTCTTTCCTTTACTGCCTGCTGGCTACAACTGTTTGACATTAATAAGAAGGCTTGCTACCTGCCATTGCTGTGAGGTTGCTACTTGGCAGACTTGATTTATTTATACACCAACATTAACACTGCTGTGTTCAGTTGTTGACATGTTGCTCAAATCTTTGAACACAGCCTTTTTAAGCTACTAAAATAAGAGTGAGAAATAGCAATATTGATAGAGTAAAATGTTACCTTGATAAGACAATAAGATAGGAAAGAGACTTGGATACAATTTGAGGAATCAAGAGAACTGGAAAACTAAGGGATTGGCTAACAATTCCTACTGGAACTTCACGTCCTTCATCATGGAATGTCTTCAGGATGAAGCTGTGAGGAGAATAATCTTCTGTTGTATAGGTTCCTTCAACATTTCAGAGCTGTTCTTGTCCAGCATGGAGTAACATAAAAGATAACCATAACTTTTCAGAAGGTGCAAAGGAAACCTAACTCTCTTCACAGAGACTGTTAAAAACCTCATCAGCAAGAGAAGACAAGTGTGTTCAGATTTTTGCTTTTATCCAAGAGGTTTGAGTTCAGAGGTTATTAGAGCTATGTTTCCTAGCAAAAGGGACCTCCTGCCTTTTTTTTTTTTTCCTTTTTTTTTTTTTTTTCCCAATAGAATTTACACTGCTTTAGCTGGTCCAAGGGATATTTTCATATAAATTTTGCAGATGCTATAATGTCAGTCTGGACTAAATAAGGAATGCAGATGACTCAGGTTTGAGCTTGTGTGCTGATGAATATTACATTATTTATATGAGGTGACATACTTTTAGACAGAGATATTGAGAAACTCTCTCTCCATGTTTCATTCCTCTCCAGTCTTTCCCTTCTTCTTTGTTCCATGCTAACCTATGATATATTGTCAGGGAAGTCATCTAGTGATAAGAGCTTCAATGTGAATGAGGCATAGGTATGTGAATATCCAGCCTCTGCCTCACAATTCTGGTGTTGGTTTTCCCGTTCTATTTTCACCAGAATTTTTATTCTGGGAACAATTTCCAAAGAAGACCTGAGTAAAATAATCTTTTTTTTTTTTTTTTTTTTTTTCCCTAATTAAAGAAAGTCTTGCCAAAAAGCTTGCAACCAGCCTCACCTATCTCTCAATATGCAAATCTGTCTTGCAGATGTAGAGCCCCAAAGGCTTTTTTGTGCTTTCACATGGGCTAGCAGCCACAGAGAGAACATTCTTTTTGGATCAAGCCCTAAGAAATGTGTAATAAATATGACTGGTTTAGATAGAAGTATTTTAGTTTTAAGATTTAGGATGTATAGTTTCAGAAATAAAGTCTGAAGAGTAATGTGATCTCAATCTTTGCTGTCTTTTGGAAATGGAGTAAGTGAATGTCTTTGAGTTTTGCCTGACTCAGTACAC